ACGCTTCGCCTATGAGAAAAAGGAGCAGCGCATGAACCGAACGAAACACACGCGAACCGAAACGGTCGAACCGAACGGTTTCCATAAACCGTTCCATCCTAGTAAATATCTCCACTGTGAAATTAATCAATGTGCTTCTTAAAAATGACCAGCATGTAAAGATCAATGCAAATAGTTTGGAGACGCTCTGATCTTGTTTTTGTAATTTGACATCTTTTTTTTTTCCCCAAATCATTTTCCATTTTATTTAGTATTGTGTTTTTTGCTTTGTTTCCTGTTTGATCTGAATAAAATAAAAAAGTTTTCTATTTGATACCAAAGTTTGAATGAATATATTTATGGTTTTTGAAGGTAATTTTAACATCTCTTGATTATAGCCCAAATATAAGTCAGATCTTCTTCATATCGCCAAGCCCTAGTCTGAAGCATATTACTGCTTTTGTGAGGACCTTTCCATCTGAGACCTGCAGCTTAGAGCCAACAGGAAACAACGCTTCTGACTCTGCTGGATGCTTTTCTAGAGCATCTAACCCTCTGAGGCAGAAGGACACAGCTATTGTCTGAACTGCTGCTTCATCCTCATCGCCTCGTAACAGACACCTCTCTGCTTCTATCTGACTTATCAAAACGCAGCCGTCTGCAGACGCCGCCTACTTCTCCCCTCTCACCTGTGCAATGAAGACCACATGCTTCCCGCTGAACTTCTTCTCCAGCTCCCTCACCAGACGCACCTGGATCTTCTGAAAGGACTTAAGCTGAGGAACAGGAACGAAGATGATGATGGCTTTCCTGCTGCCACCAACCTCGATTTCCTAGAACAAAGATAAAAGTGAAGGAAGCAGCTTCCAGGACCGTCCTCTCCACCATCAGATGATCAGAAACAAACATCAGAACATGAAGGTCTGTGTCCTGCATGGTTTAGCTCCCCAGTAACGGCCCAAAGGACTCTGGGAAGGTGTAGGAATATACAGGACGCTCGTCCTCGCCGGCGGGCAGCCGGGGACGGAGCTTTATGTCCGACACCGTG